GGAGGAGGGGGAGGAGGAGGAGGCAGAGGCAGCGGCAGCAGCGGCTGATTGTGCTGAGCTTCCTGGAATTCGGGAGTGGCAGGCTGGGTGAATGGCGGGCTGGGTCCTCCAAGGCTGGAGCTGTCGCTGCCGGCCAGTTTTCAGCACCTTCATGAGATGCGCTCTGCCAGAGGAGTGGAGGAAAGAGGTTTCTGATGGAGGGGTCTTCATACCCTATGCCGTACCATAGGAGGCGTGGGGCCACCCGCAGCTGGTGACAGCAGAGGCGGCCAAGAGTGAGGGCGCTGGCGTATGTGCAAATATCACCCATGTCATATTAATGACATACGTGGAGGTAACATGTACACGGGATCTGCATAGGAGATAGACATGACACATATGTGCCACCAGCAACCTTCCACTCCCTGTTTTTTTTTGAAATTTCTTTTTCTATTTTTGCTTATGTGGTGCTGGGGAATCGAAACCAGGGCCTCATGCATGCAAGGCAAGTGCTCTACCACTGAGCCACCTTCCCAGCCCCCCACTCCCTGTTTTAATATGTTCAGAGAGGTAGAGAATGAGAATGGAATGAAAACAGGACGCTGGAAAAGGAGTTTAAAACATGGCGCAGGAAATGCAAACCTTAGTATGGTTGTCAAGATAATGTCAAGAAAGAAGACCAAAAAGAACGTGGGAAAGAGAACTCACATTGCTGGTGGCTCATGCCTGTAAGCCTAGCTTCTCAGGATACTGAGTTTGGGGGATTTTGCACCAGAGCCAACCAGGGCAGAAATGAAATGTGCTCAAGGCTCCATGTCCATTGAGTGGCAAGCAGCTGGGCTGGAGGCATGATTCAGAGTATCCACTGTAAACACTCCCAGAAGAGTGTTATCAGGCACCCCAGGGAGGGGAAGAGAACGACCCATACTTCCAAGTTGGAGTTGGTAAACTGAATGGGTTCAATAAATGCTTGGTGTGATTAATATGTATTTAGCCACGTGATTAGGAAATTTTAGGACAAACTGAGGACTCTGATATAAACAACCAGGTCTCATGAAGGATCAGGAATCAGTTTTGGATTACTCTGTAGCAACCTGAAAATGAGCAGAGCCAGCACGCCTTCAACATTCTTATGGAAAATAGATGTCAACTAAGAATGTGCATAGTCAAATTAAGGCCAGTTCTAATAAAGATATTTGTAGACATGCAAGGCATCAAAACATTTACTTCACCTGGTACATTTATTCAAAGCTAAAAGGCACCATGTGTTGGGACTCAGGCCTATAATCCTCGCTACACTGGAGTTGAGATCTGGAAGATTGCAATTTTGAGGCCAGTCCAAATAGAAAGTCCATGGGACTCCATCTTCAAAATGAGCAGCATAAAGTTAACTGAAGGCATGGATCAAATAATACAGCAAGAGTAATGAAGAAAAATATTAATTTAGCACAAGACCTTGAGTTCAAGTTCTGGTACCAGCAAGAAAAATAAATGAATGAAAGATAAAGGGCAACTCACAAGATCTACTCAAGTAAAGACAGCTTCTTCAACAAATGGTTTGGGAAAAGTGACTAATAGAAGAAACAGAAACTAGAGCCTTTTGTCACCATGTATAAGAAACAACTCCAAAAGGATCAAAGAACTAGATATAACATCAGAAATTCTGAAACTACCTGAAAAAATAGAGAATAGTCTAGAAGATATAAGCACATGGTATTATCTTATGAATAGAACTCTCAATTGCCCAGAAAATAATAGAAAGAATGGACGAGGACTGCATGAAATTAAAGTGTTTCTAAACAGCCAAAGAAACCAAGAGCTATCCACACAATGGGAGAAAATCTTTGCCAGTGATGTCAGCAGATAAAGGATTAATATCTAGTATATACCAAGAGCTCAAAAGGTTAACAGCAAGAAAACAGTAAATGGGCAAATGAACTGAGCCATTCTCAGAAGAATAAATGCAAGTGCCTAATAAACACAAGAAGAAATATTCAATATCTGCCAAAAAGGAAGTGCAAATCAAAAAAGAAAGATTCCATCTTTTTGGGGGCACCTTTTTTTGGCTCGTGCCTGTAATCCTAGATACTGAGGAGGCTCAGATCTCAGGACAGATCTGAGGTTCTGAGGTTTGAAGCCCGTGTGGAGAGGAAAGTCTATGAGATCTTATCTCCAGATAATTTCTCCAAAACTGAAAACAGCCAATGCGGTAGCACTCCAGCCTTGAGAGAAAAATAAGCCCATCTTCCTCCAGTCAAATTAGCAGTCATAAAAACTCAACAATAAATGCTGGCAAGAAAGGAGAATGAGGGAGGAACTGTCATGCTGTTGGTGGGAATATAAACTAATGCAACCACTATGAAATAAATATGAAGATTCCTCAAGAAATTAAAAGTATACTCACTTACAATCCTACCATACCATTATTGGGCATATATCAGAAGGAGTGTGAATACACACGAAAGATACCTGCACACTCAATAGCAAAATGGTAGAATCAGCCCAAGTGCCTAACAACTGATGAATGGATAAAGAAAACATAATACACAAATGCCAAGGAATATTAGTAATATGATACATATATACCATGTGATATTACCCACATGGTACATATTTACTATATAATATTAGCCATAAAAAGAGTAGTTAAGAGAAAAGATCTGATCATCAAGTTGAACAAGAGAAGCCAAGTTCAAAAAGCCAAATACCATGATTTTACTCATCTGCAGAATGTAGACTTTGGTGTGTTTATAACAACACTGAACTTGATCATAACTATGGTATTGTTAGTGGAGATGTGGCAGATAAGAGATTGATGGAGTGGTTGATATCTCTCTTGGACAATGTAGATTACAAATTTACACCATTACATCTGACTTATTTGTTGAGATGGGGTCTTACTAAACTTTTGCCTGGTAGGATCTTGACCAATTCCCCAGTAACTGTGATTGCAGCTATGTATTACCTCTCTTAGATGTGGTACTTAAAAATCTTATTGATCAGTGGGAAAAGTGCTAGTCAGTAGGTACAGAGAAAGTGGCTTTGCATTTGAAAGTTCACATGTTGCAACTATGCGACTCACAATATCATTTAAAAATATTTGACAAATGAAATACTTATGACTCATTCATTTCATTTCTCATTTTTCTAAATTCCATTCTAGAAAAGTTTTCACTAATAGTTGAAACTGTTAATATTTGGAAAACATTTTTTGTATTGTTTCAAGCATTTTTTTTGTTGTTGTTGTTTTTGGTCTGGTCGTGGGGCCTGAACTGTGGGCCTGGGCACTGTCCCTCAGCTCTTCAGCTCAAGGCTAGCGCTCTACCACTTGAGCCACAGTGCCACTTCTGGCCTTTTTGTTTTTCTGCTTATGTGGTGCTGAGGAATCGAACCCAGGGCCTCATGCGTGCAAGGCAAGCGCTCTACCACTGAGCCACCTTCCCAGCCCTCAAGCGTTTTTTAACCAGGAGATTTGAGGTTTTTATAAGCATTACATTCACCATTAAGATACATGTAACATTTTCCTAATTACAAACAAATACTACTTTGGAATTAATATTCTCTAGTTGTTGAATATGCACAAGAATAATTTTTGTCATAATCATCTAATCAATTATTAAACTCATAATTTTTTAGTAATTCCTTCATTTTGTCTATTTTTATTTGTTTATTTTTTATTCTGCTGGTATTGGGGTTGAACTCAGTGCTCAGATGCTGTTTCTTAGTTCTTTCCACTCAAGGCTGGTGCTCTACCACTTGAGCCACAGATCCACTTCCTGCTTTTTCCTGCTTAATTGGACTTAAGAATCTCATGGAACCGGGCGCCGGTAGCTCACGCCTGAAATCCTAGCTACTCAGGAGGCTGAGATCTGAGGATCACGGTTCAAAGCCAGCCTGGTCAGGAAAGTTCGTGAGAATCTTATCTCCAATTAACCACCAGAAAACTGGAAGTGGTGCTGTGGCTCAGGTAGTAGAGCGCTAGCTTTAAGATGAAGAGCTCAGGGACAGCACCCAGGCCCAGAATTCAAGCCCCAGGACTGCAAAAGTAAAAAAAAAAAAAAAAATGAACTTTAGTGCTCAGGCTGGCTTTGAACCATAATCCTCAGATTTCAGGCTCAAAGTAACTTGGATAACAGCCATGAGGTACTGGCCCCCAGTTTATCTTTTTTATTTAGTTTTCTGAATTAACTAGTATTAATTATGACCACTTAAAATATTTCTTCTTTTTAATATTTTATTACATACTGCTTACTCCAAAGAGAATTTAAAAATGATTGAAAGCAATTGTATATAGTCCAAGTCTATCTCCCTATCTTTTTTTTTTTTTTTTGGTCGGCCGTGGGGCTTGAACTCTGGGCCTGGGCGCTGTCCCTCAGCTCTTCAGCTCAAGGCGAGTGCTCTACCACTTGAGCCACAGCGCCACTTTCTCCCTATCTTTATTAGAGGTAAAAGTTTCTCTACATTCTATAGAGTGAATTTGTAATGTTCCTTTATAGATTTTTCATTAACTCCTGAACACCAAGGAAAACCCAGAATAAGAGGCTTGAAGCAGATTTAAATAGACTCAGGGCATAAACTGAAAGGAAGATTGTACTGCAAACCCTACTGCCTTTGGAATCAAGACACCTTATCATCTGTGGAACTTCTCCACCATCTCCCCTAGCATTATAAAAGAGGAAGCTTTCTGTTAGTCAAGCTCATCATGTAAATTGCTTTCATACTTTATTCTTCTTTTGTTGTTACTGGCAGGTCCTGGGGCTTGAAATCAGGGCCTGTTCCTGAGTCCCTTTGTGCTCAAGGTTTACCACTGAGTTACAGTGCCACGTCTGGCTTTTTCTTTTTTCTTTTTTTAAATTTTTATTTTTGGGTCCGGTTGTGGGGCTGAACTCTGGGCCTGGGTGCTGTCCCTCAGCTCTTCAGCTCAAGGCTAGCACTCTACCACTTGAGCCACAGCGCCACTTCCAGCTTTTTTTCTTTTTGCTTATGTGGTGCTGAGGAATCGAACCCAGGGCCTCAGGCATGCAAGGCAAGCACTCTACCACTGAGTCACCTTCCCAGCCCACATCTGGCTTTTTCTGAGTAGCTTATTGAAGGTAAGAGACTCACAGCTTTTTCTAATAGCTGAGCACCAATGGCTCACACCTGTAATCCTAATTACTTAGGAGGCTGAGATCTGGCGATCACTGTTTGAGCCAGCCTGGGCAGGAAAGTCTGTGAGACACTTATTTGCAATTAGCTACCAAAAAATCTGGAAGTGAAGCTATGGCTCAAATGGTAGAACACTGATCTGACAGGGCGAAAAGGGAAGAGAGACAGAGACAGAGACACAGA